CAAACAATGCCGTTCACAAAAACCAGTGACAGTACAAGGGTTAAGACCTGGTGATAATAACGTCGTCTCGAGTTTTGTCACTGGTTCGTCAACCAGTGTGATAGAATTGATATCGATATCTCGAAAATCAATTTGGTGCCGAATTAATTACTACTCATGGACCTGTTAGATGGCCTCCAAGAGTGATGGACACATTCCAGAACATCAACAGAGTTCATCGGAGAAAAACAGCGAATCATGTTCGCTCGCGAATATTAAAATGTATCGAGAACAATGGGAGCCATTTCGAGCATTTCAATTAATTTTTTTTAGTATTTGTATTATCCATCTGTTAAGTTATGCAAGAACATAGAACACAGATTCCATAATCTAAGGTGAAAGTCATGGTGGAGTGAAGTAGTAACTAATAACACAACATAATGAATTGTCGTGGAGATAACTTCGAGTATTATTTTTTAGTTACAGAATGTCTAGCCTATACTGGACATACAAACAAAAATTGGAAATCAGTACCCCAAATAAAATAAAACTGTGATTGTGATACATCACTAGAAAGGAAATTTTATACTGATTTCAAATCTGTTAAAATCCAATATGGCGTCCATGAGAAGAATTGAAGTTGTAGGTGATATCTCAGAAATTTGACAATTTGATGGAAAACTGACAAAACCATTGAAAAGAACACCAAAAAGTGCTATGAGAATGTTGAAATCATTTTTTCATAAAATCAATAGTTTCCGAGATATTCGAACAAAACAAAAATACAAGATTTCAGTTTTTCTCAAATAACTCAAGAATGACTGAAGCTAGCCCGGATTTCTCAATAGATTCTGATTCAACATCAAATTTGCTACAACTTTGCCAATTCAACCGTTTCTCTATCTCTCATAGTTACTGAGATCCCAATGGTGAGGATCGAATTTGGGACACATTGTATTGTGACATTCCCCCTTTTTTCCCTATGGTCTTCAATTGCAACTGTAAATTTGGCCCATGATTTTTTTTCAATAACTACTAATTTAAAGTTGCAACTGTAAATTAGGCAAAGATTCGTGAAAAAAAGTTTTTCAAATGGCAGTTCAGATCAGTCGCAGTAACTAAACCAACATCGTGATTTCACGATGAAGTTAAGACCGATTCGCGGTTCGTACGGTTTTTAATCACGCCGAGTAATGGCGGACGACGGAAAATCAGAAAATTATACGTATAAACGCCGTCTGAGGCGCGATTCGCGCGTCTAATGACTGATTTATGTCGGCATTCGATTCGACTCGAGCGGAAAGTGAAGCATTAAGGTCTCGTTGCCATATATCAAAATTATATGTATCAGAGAGCATGTGCCCCGAAACGTAAAACCACTCTTCCTGTGCAATAAGGAGATTTGTGGCCTTCACTATTCTAACTCCTAACTACTCATTTAACACCCACGGTTTCCACAGGAAAGAAATTCTTTACGTGAAACGATGTTATTCGTTCGAATTCTATTTCTTTGTGATACATGCACGAAAGAGTTCAGGATGTAATTCCTTGTCAAACATTTTTTGTTTTCATTTATTCATATGAAAAAAACTTACATTGCTAGTTATTCATTCACGACAAATAGTACCACCGTTTATATTTGTTTCCATTGTTACCAACTGACCCTGCAGAATGTACATCAACAATCCCTCATTATTCTAATCAATTACTGTCCGCCACAAAATCACCCATGAATAACGACAAATATAATACCATACATTCCCGATATATCTGAAAAAATAAAACGTGTTGGTGATAAATATCAAGTGAAAACTGTGTTCAAAACTGAAAATTCAATGAGATCAATTCTAACTCAAACAAAGCCGAAAAATGAAGAACAATCGTCAAAAAAATTGTATCCACAGTATACCTTGTGTTTGTGGAAAGTTTTATACAGATGTAACTAAGAGACCTCTTTCAGTAAGGACAAAGGAACATAAGTACAATATAAAGAAAAGACACATCGACAAATCGAAACTAGCTGAACATATCCTTACTGAAGATGGACAACATATGGCAGAATCGAATTACATTAAAATCATCGTTAAGTTGATATAGATAGAACATAATATTCACTACTGAAATCTGAAAATGAAAATGGTAAATTCAAGATTAATTAATGAAAACATCCTGTAACTCATTTGATTGCCAACGTCTCCAATTGTCACTGTCAAATATCCATTTTTTATGTTGAAAACGGGAGCAGATTCGTTCCTAAAACGTCCAAAGCTGAGTGAAAATTTGATAATCTTTTTATATACCTATATACGTTTGCGAAAATTTTACTGATTCCAGTCAGGAATCACTGATTTCATCCAAATTATCACTAATTCAAGTCGAATAACCATTTTTTCCATTCAGATGTCAGATAAACAAATTATCATTGAATATGAGTTCACTACAGATACAGAATATTTCCTTAAAAAGGTATTCTCAATCTCATCAAAAATAATCTTAATAATTCACCGACCAACTTGAAAGTTTTGTCAAGAGAAAATGAAAATAGTATATAATTATACTATTAATTTTCAAAACTTGCTTGATCATTCTTGAAACAATGGTAGAAAGAGTTCCAAAAAAAGTTCATGTTTTCGCAGGTATATATGGTAACTATTTTGAAACAGACTTGACGACAATTTTATCATCACTAACATTAATGTGAACCAACCTTAACAAAGATGTAAGTTAAATTTCCCTTGTTATAATTAATGTGACCTAATGGAAAATTGTTGTAGAATCCCTGTTGTTGGAAATATAAGATTCTGAAAGCTTGGACAAACTTTAAAGGGTACTCTTTTCACTTTACTGCATTCCCCAATAAACCTAGTTTTTCCTCTAACTAGTCAGCAACGACTACCCTCTCATAGAAAGAGAAGTCGTTGCTATATACAGGGTGATTCACATAAGAACCGACATGGAGTAGGGGCATGTAGGGGGTCCCAAAATATGGCAATTTAACGCAACTTACCTCTATACCAAGTTGCTTCCCTAAGGAGATATAGGCGTTGAACGTAAATTTTGAAAAAAATCAATATCTATCTCCGTTATTCTTTAACTTAAAGCAACCAAATTTGGTACACTTTGTGGATGTATTTAGGGCGTTACTTGACAGTAACTAGAGTTCAATTGAAATTTGTAAAGGGGGTATACCGGGTGGCGCACCATTCAACATAATTTTGTTAACACTTGATGAATTTCAAAAATCTTTGTTTTGTGGGCAATTCAATTCTAAAACTTTTCTCACTCTGGTAATTTTTCGAAAAACCTCATCATTTTCATCAAAAACTCGAATAACTGAAAACGCGCGCTCAAAATTCAAAAGTTGGCTATGAAAATGAACGTCAAACTTGACAATGAGGCAAGTGAGTTGTTCAATTAAGTAATTGTTGTTTGAGTGTTTTTAAAATGAACGGGAAGTTTTCTTTTAACGAGCAAGTTGACATGCTGTTAGTGCTATGCCTATAACTCCTTAGCGAAGCAACTTGGTATAGAGGTAAGTTGCGTTAAATTGCCATATTTTGGGACCCCCTACATGCCCCTGCCCTATGTCGGTTGTTATGTGAATCACCCTGTATATATCCATTTTTTCTTATTCATAATTTATCTGAGAATATTCCTATTCAATACTTTCACCCAATCAAGGGATTAAAACTTGAACAATGGAATTTTGTTATTTTTAGGTTTCCGCGGGTCAGAAATTTGAAAACTACTAGTTCGGGTTGAACCGCGTCTAAAATCTCAATCTGCCTACTCCTCACTATCCTCAGTTAATATCACGGAAGGTATGTGACTTGGCGTCGGGGTCTCAATCTGCCTACTCCCCTCTGGTTCTCTCTAAGGTCTCAATCTGTCTACTTGTTCGAGAGAACATTACGTTGCCAATTTTTATCTCTTTCTAACTCGTTTGAAACTTTGGAAGTATTTATGATTTTGAACAAATAGTGTCTTATGGCAGAAACAGTAGTCTCGCTCCTGCTCACAATTAGGGAACTCTGTTCATCCTATAGATCTCTTAGTTATCAGATATTGTAATGTCTGGCTCCACCATCCCCACCAAGCCCACCATATCTATGCTCGGTATTTCCATCAGCAACACTCTTTCATGGGATAATCATGTCAGATCCATCGCAAAAGCTGTTTCACAAAAACTCGGATTCTTGTTCCGTGCGAAAAGCTACTTTACACCTCAACAGCTTCTCATGATCTACAAAGCGCAGATACGGCCTGTTCTAGAATACTGCTCCCACATATGGGGTTCAGCACCAAAACATACGCTGATGATCTTAGATTCCATCCAGAAAAGAGCCATTCGCCTGGTGGGTGACGCCACACTCACTCACTCTTTGACATCATTGGAACACCGTAGAAAGGTCAGCGACCTTTCACTTTTCTATCGATACTTCCACGGGAAATGTTCTTCGGAAATCTCTGCTATCATCCCTTCACTAGCAATACCAATCAGACGAACTAGACAAGCCCAGTCATTACATCCTTTCGTTGTCAACCTCGAAAGATGTCGAACAGCACTTTATCAAGACGCCTTCATCCATCCAGAACGGCTAGGCTCTGGAATTCATTGCCTGTGGAAGTATTCCCAACAACATATAATCCCCAAAAGTTCAAAAAGAATTCCAATACCTACCTCCTGTCCCTATCCTCCCTAGGAACGCACGATGTTCTTCGAACATTATAGGGATTCCCTTTCGTGCGCTACAAGCGATGAAAAAAAAATCAAACTCCTACAGGAGGACTGGATTATATTAGAGTGGACGGACATACTGGCCTTCATCAGAAGGTCAGGGAGATTCGTAAAGGAAATCTAGAGGTGAAGGAAGCGTAGATATGTGGAGAGCAGCGGTTAGCAAAAAGGGCCCATCGGGGCCTACTTGCTTGGCTACAGCCTCCCCACCTACTACTACAACTTGTTTTAAGATCTAGTTCAATGTCGGAATTAGAAGAAAACGTTCCTCTTGTTGTTTCAGGTGGCTCCAACGTGGTTCCATGTTCGTCGTTTCCCAATCGCAGCTCAGAAACTTGCTGCGGGTGGACGACGATTGGAGGTCGGACGAGTTGCTGGATTTGGGAGCGGGGGACGGGGAGGTGACAGCCCATTTGGCGCCCCTTTTCCGGAAAGTCTACGCCACTGAGGTGTCCGGGACGATGAGAGGCTTACTACAGAAGCGGGGATACGAGTGAGTTGATTATTACTCTTCAAATACTTCAAATTCCTCTTAGCCAATTGTAAATAGCGTTTCCACAGTGTTGCCAGAAGTGGTACATTTGTACCACATGTGGTACATTTGTAAGAAACCAATTCCCAAAATGAAGAATACATTTAATCAGAGTTTATATTGTTAATAATAATATTGATAGGCAATGGACACTTGACAGAGTTCACAGAACAGAATTATCGTATTGCCCTCAACACAAAACCAAAACACAGAGTTGATGTTATGTTTTGTGCCCTTGAGTGATGACAGTTGTCAGGATAGGTAAACACTTGATCTCTTCGTTCTGCTTTCAGACATCAGTCTTAATAAGTATACACTAGAGTCACTAGATGGTATTCAAACTAATACCATCCAGTGACTCTAGTATACACTATTTCTGAAAATAGTGGAACCAATCAAAAGTACACACTTATTAATGACATGACAGATCAAAGCTGTTTCTTGTTTCTCAATGATTGACATATGTTGACATTTTTAGGCCTAGGGTTGCCTGAGCCTTGAGTTAACTCTGCGTGCGCAAGTTGCATAAAACAATACAGTATTTAAGTTTTTATACCGTAAAATTTGTCTATAAGCATTTCGTTGAACCCTCTTCCGCAAACGGAAAAATATGGTGATAATTGAAATATATATGGTGGTACCCCAAGCCGTGGCACTTGATATCTCCAAGGCATTCGATCGAGTCTGGCACCACGGACTCCTCGCGAAGCTTCCATCTTATGGCTTGCCTCCCCAGCTCTCTGCTAGCTAGTTTTCTTTCAAACAGGTCTCTCCATGTAGTGGTCGACGGAGTTTCAACTGACTCTCTTATCATAAATGCTGGTGTTCCGCAAGGATCAATTCTAGCACCTACACTATTTATACTCCATATCAACGATTTGTTGGAAGCAACTTCATGTCCAGTACACAGCTTCTCGGATGATAGTACCCTCCATACCGCCTTCTCTTCCAGGGCTCCAATACCATCCAGGCAAATCAGAAACGAACGAGGAAGAAATGTTGACAACATAAATATGGACTTGGCAACAATTCTCGAATGGGGATCCAATAACTTGGTAGATTTCAATGGAAACAAAACACAAGCATGCCTTTTCTCTAGAAAAGCCCATTTCACTGTGCCCAACATAAGCTTGTCAGGAGTAAATATACCTTTGAAAATCCTCTTGGGAAAATCACGTGATATCAATTGCTGAATGTGCATCCCAAAAACTCAGTTTTCCGTTCCGGGCCAGGAGCTATTTCACTTCCAGTCAGCTGCTTATGATCTATAAGGCACAGATCCGACCTGTCCTGGAATAATGTTCCCATATCTGGAGTGCAGCACCCACACATACCCTGATACTGTTAGATTCGTCTCGTGAGTGATGCCCCGCTCACAAGATCACTCACTTCTCTGGAATACCGTAGAAAAGTTGGCGATCTGGCTCTATTTTATAGATATTTTCATGGACTCTTCTGAAATATCAACAATTGTTCCTCCTTTGGCAGTCCCCGCGAGATTAACCCGTCGAGTTGAGGGTTTGCGTTGAGGCATCTCACCCCTTCGTGGTCACTTTGGAGACCTGCAGAACATCTCTTTCCAAAGACTCGTTCAAGTCGTTCATCCAACGAACAGCGAGGCTCTGGAAAACATTTCCTAGGGAGGTGTTCTCCGAGGCATATAACCTCCAGAAATTTGAGAAGAACACCAATTCCTACCTTGTTTCCCTTGGTTCTCACGATGTTCTCTGAACATTACAGGATATCCCTTTTCGTGGGAACCAGAACATAAAAAAAATACTTCAAATACCTCTAGCCGATAGGCGAGAGGACTTTTTTTTTCATTCCTCATATAGAATCATCACTCGAATTGCTTTCATTTTCATATTTTTTAAGAATTTTTTGGTCGATTTTTAGGTGCTAAAATCATCAATAATGCCATCAATTTTCAAACGGCTAGAAATTTACCGCCAGTAAAAACTGACGAAACGATTTTGTAAGTTGGGACAGACCATAGCACAGTTGCCATGTTTCGAATTACGATTGGGATTTTCGGAAATATTATTTATTCCAAATCCATAAATTCTCAATTGAGTATTGGTAATATCCCTATTTAGCAATAAAAATTCAATCGTCTCAAAATGTTGCCCTATGATTTGCGGCTTATTGCTTATAATAAATTTGTGTAAATAATAATTATATTGATTCACACTAGAGGAACGTGACAACCTCGCGTACGACTCGTGTGCGTGGTCTTGTCAGTTCTCAGCATTCAGCACAATGTTGCCAAGTCTCCAACATCCACATGATATTTTGTTATGGAGAATGAGAAATATTTGGACATGCTGGTTGCTCGAAAAAGTCAAGAATGAACTATAATGTCATGAGTTCCTCATATAATGATTAAAACAGAGATGAATAGAAATTTAACTGGTGCGCTTGCTCCCTATTGAAGATCGTTTGCAAGTTTCTCGATAGCGCCTACTCTGATAAACCTTTGATAAACATACTTGACGTGGGTAAATCTCGCTAAGCTCATCCTGGTTACAATCCATATTTACAGGAAACATATTACCGACCGATAAGTATTTGGATACGTATATGATTTGGATCAAAGCAGTGAACTGATTCCTGATCAAAGGATCGAAACGTCAATATGTCAAAAATATTTTTGAGTTGAAAAAATGGTTATTTCTGAGATTGGGGTCAAGTGTTCGTTAGGGACGTGTTCCGTAGTTTCTAAATTTTGTGTATAATACCTAATCCACCATAGAAAAAAGGAAATCATCGTTCTACAACAGTATTATTTCAGTGATTTGAAATATTAGCGTGAACTGGTGTGAATAAATTCTAAGGTGAGTACCAGTTACCAAATTGGTCTATTTCAATAGTTGATACATTCTTTGTTCTGGTTCTTCAAAGAGGAAATTCATCAGATTTCATGCTTTAAATAGGTTCATGTCATGAAAGAAGTGAAGCTTATTGAAATCGGCTACAAAAAAGATTTCTTACTTATTTTTCAAATTGAAATTTGAATGAAAATGTTGAACACAGTATTTATCCGACCACAGAACAATGATGGAAATAGATTCATCCCGCACAGAAACAAGGTTTTGAACGATTTTCCGATTATGGCGCCTCTTTCGTAAATACCTGAAACCCACGTCCAAAACTCGCTTGCAATTGTTCCATATCGAGAGTTAGTCTGACGAAACAATTGAAGAGTGAGCCCACCAGTTAAATTTCTATACATCTCTATTACAACCTTCCAAAAGTCGTCATAATTTGAAGCTCGTAGGAAAAATGTTTTTCCTAACACGTGCGCAAAGTGCCTTTTCCGCACGCACTCCGTTTCGCGTCCTTCGCCTAGCTGTTCTTATATACGTGCGGAAAATTGACACTTTGCGCACTTGTTGGGAAAAAAGAATATTTTTTGCATGTTATTTCACTTTCAGAAATCTCTCCTAATGATGACATTGTTGCCGAAAAAGTTCCAGCTAATCATCGAACAGAGATTCTTGCATCAGCAAGGACCGTAATGATTTTTTTTTTCAAAATGTATGAAATGTTCAATTGATCCTTGTTATTATGCAATTTTCATCGATGCGATATTAGGTGAATCAGTATCTCAATAATTAACATTTTCCTTCTTCACGATACAGAGTGAAGTGAATTATTGTTGAATATATCTTCCAGTCATCGCTGTGAACTTATCTACACGGTACAAAAAATTATGTTACCGTTACAATATTCTGGTACAACCAGATTCAATTCGTTGCTGATACCATATAAAATTGTAACCATAACGATATTCTGGCTATAGTAACAATGAAAAATTATTATAGTGTCACAAGATATCTGGTTGTGTCTAAATGACCATATTATAACCAGACGATTTTATTCCGTGTAGGTACAATTTAAAACACCCAGTATTATAAATTCAATATGACCGTAATTAGTTTGAACTAATAATACAATTAATATCTCTTGAGCAGTCTTAACCAGATCTTGCCAGCTGGACAGCCAATAAATATCATATTAAATCGTAAATTTTCTCAATATATTTCTCGTATTTGGCATATCGAAATCCGGTATATCAATTTGTTCACGCAAATTATTTAAAATTTTATAGCGACACTCAAGAAAATTGTAACAGTCGTTCGGGATTCGATTCCATTATCATTAATTGCATTAATAATATTGTATTTTTATGCGCCATAAAAGTACTCTCTAAAATTGAACAGCTATAAAATATTAAGTGCCCACTTAATGCTATCTTTTCTGAGAGAAGCAACACATTATTAAGTATAGCAATGCAAAGCGGATCGACATATAGTCACATCAGGAAGGTTACTCTTGTTTTCTTGCCTTCTACTTATACAGGGTGTTTCATAATTGCAATATGTTTCAGTTATTTCTAATATAAAATGGTGTGGGATTCAACTCCTCATATCAGATTAATTTTATCTACAATGTGGAATAATAGAGTTACGCTAGAATCAATCACAATTTAATAAAAGATTCCATAATATACAGGGTGTCTGTAAAAGGTCTTTACAGAGACATACCACATATACCTTAGACCAAAATAAGTCGATTTAAGTAAAATTACCTCAGTACAAAGTAGCATCGTTTGGGCTCCAGAGGGCCTTGAATTTACAATTTTTGAATCGTTTTTCCCATATAAATTCAAAACAACATATGCGATTTTGTTGAAATTTGGTATATTGATAGAGTTTTATGTGGCAAAAAAAGTGGTGTCTATTTTCCTCTCGTTCTTTAGAACTAGGTTTTTCATTAACAACAGAGAAAATGGAAACACGTGTTTAATAATGTTTTTTTTGCCAGATTCAAAAATGAAGCAACTCTTGGAGGAACTTTGTACAAAGTGTTGATTCCAACAGGTTGTGAAGTACATTCCTGATCAGCTTGTCTTGAAAAGAATCTGTGGGAATTCAACTGTCATCACATAATAAATCTGC